ATTTCTGAAACTGTCGAGCCGTTGATTTTTAAAAAATTCTAATCGGCAAAACTCCATTTAAACACGTGTTAAATCACTTGAATTTCAAAAATTTATATCTCAAGTTCAAAACGGTCAATTGCAAACGGAAAAGGCTCATTTTGTTGCTAATTTTTCAAACTATTCACAATAAAATTTTTAACGAAAACTGTCGAAAAAAAATTCTACGCGACAACAACCTTAACAATTATTTTGCATTTAGACAATTCTTTTTCCAATATAATTGAAAAAAAATCGTATCAAATTGCACAAAGAAACTACGAATTGTGGAAATTCCCAGTCTTACTACACGTGCTAATAATACTTGTCATAATGAAAGCCAAACCATAGATAATGGGCAGAATCCTACAAGAAAATCCCCAGTCATATCTAGAATTGTTACATTAGATAACTCAATGATGTATTCTCCCGTTCGACTCAATGATCTTATACCGACAGTCAATCCGTTTTTTTTCAGTCAATCAAGTACAACAAACTGCAAACATCAGTGATCTCAGACGAGAGGCGTTCGAGCTTTTCTCTACCAATCTAATCTATCTACCAGTGATTTAAATTTTAGAACTCACGATTTACAAGTGCAAACAGGTGTAAATTCATGTAAATCCATTCTTCTATCTACATTTATTAACTATAATGATTTTTTAAATTCTAGTTCAAAATTCGCAGAGAAGACATTTCCAATAATGGATACTCGCACCTGGATGCGAGCTATCCCGCGTACAATAACATCACAAGACGCAAATATGCTGATGAATGTAGAACCTAAATATAATCATCTTGCAACTCCAAAATCGAATGAAAATACCATCGATCGCTAAAGCGGTCGATAGCGGTCGCTATACGCTGATTCTACAGACACTGCTAATAATGTTTCGACTTATTCCGATGATCCTAATATTTCGAGCAGAAAAAAAAACATAAAATCATACTCATTAGAAGAACATAGTCAGGGTATTTTCAAGATCACTTTCAATTCACGAAAAAATATTTATGCAACAGGAGATAGAGACACTCCGCGAATTCCGATTTCAACGTCACCTTCAATTATGAACTTGTTTAGGAATATTTCATGCCATACCTCAAGTTTAAAAAGTGAAAAATTCAACTGTTGCATTGTGCGATGGTATTATAACTATGAATCTACCTATAAATAAAATAGTCTCGAATTTCCAAGATACCATTACTTTCTGTAATGAGGCTACATCTACTATGGAACGCACAAGCAAAAATCTTCGCGCTTGATCTGGACGTATTACTTCTAACCCAATGGAAAAGAACTTCAATGAAATTGAAGAATACTACGGTGGTGGACTGACAGAAATTTGTCAACATTGTAATACCAAACATTTCAGTGCGAAGTAATTTCTTTCCATCAATGTTGTGAACATGGTAAAGTCAGACTACCCCCATTACCGGAAATGCCATGAGATTTGAAACTTCTCCTTTACTGAGGTTTTACAATAATTCTTTCTTATTTGCGCCCTTCAATGCAAATTTAATGAATTCCTCAAATCGTTGATTGGGGCCTTACTGTTTTCGAATTCACTATCGATTCTACAATAGATTCTGCTATCAATTCAACACTACATTGTATGGCAATGACTTAGCACGACATGGGCAACTTTTCATTTTAGATTCTGCAGAAACAATCAATGTCCTACAAAACACTGACTCATTACTGGATAATGACGTATTACAGATAATGGATTCGACAATGTGCGATTGCAATCCATTCGTTGAATTGTATTCAATGAGGCATGAAAAAGTTGAAGTATAAAAGATTCAAATGAGAAATATGAATAATGGAGAACCTCTTTCACAATTATGTTTATCATTCACTTCAAGATCTGACTTGGAGCGTAATCGTTATAAAGCTCGACGCTCTAAGGAAGTAGCAGCCTTTTTTTTCCACTGCAGTAGAGGAAGAAATACCAGATGCGTATCTTACAGTACGTGATTTAAGTACCCAAAAATTGAAAACCATCAGTTCTACAGATCGACGGGTTGAATCGTGGGTTTATCTTTTATTTTATCCACATGGTACAGACGATTAGCATACTGAACTTAAATCAATTGGTACCAAAGAGAAGATAACTAGAGCAGCTTATACGAAATTTCGCATGGCTGTCTGAGATAATAATGACATAAATATGGTTCTACAAGATCGGCTTTTATTTCAATAATGGTTTGTCTCTCAGTATGTTAAAGTTGAACAAGATGGATTCAAATACATTGAAACATTTCAATCCAAATTACGTGCTAACCATTATAATAATCTAACTATCTCGACAAATTCACAAGTAAAAATAACATGCGCGTTGGGAAAGTTATCATTTTGCCATCAAGTTTTACGGGATCACCGAGATATATGATGCAAAACTATCCAGACACTATGACTAAGGTCCGTAAATTTGGGAAACCGCATTTATTTATAACTTCATTTATAACTTGTCAACTTGTATTGAGTCATTACACCGCTGATTAGTGATTCATTGTGGGATAGATACTGGATCTACGGGAAATTCATCATGGGAGCAATGTTTCCAAGTCGCGGAAACTATCGAGTAGGAGATATCAGAGACACCGTTTAAAACAACCCGCAGTGGAGCTTGGTTCATGGGAAGACCGAGTAGCGACCACTGTATCGAGGAGTTGGAGATTTGGAGACTCAGATGATAAATTATTACTCGGAAAGCAGACGTAATCGGCGAATATTAGATGCTGAGAAT